GAAAAGGGGGGCCATGGCCCCCATGCCCCCCTCCCTGTATACGCCACTGGCTGTGCCCCAGTAAAAGGAGAGGGGTGCCCCGCTCCGACTTCCGAGCAGAAGATGGCGCCCCAGCAAAAAAAGAGGAGCCTCATAAGAAGAAAAGGGGTGCCTCTGGCAGAAGAGAGACGTCCCCCGCAGTGGAAGGGCGCCCCCAGAAGAGAGGCGTCTCCAGCAAAAGAGAAGTGCCCCCTGCAGGAGAGGGGCACTCCAGCAAAAGTTGGGCAGAAATGGGGCGCCTCCAGCAGAATTTGGGGTCGCCCAACAGGAGAGGGCCGCCCCATTCACAGTAGAAAAAGGAACTCCCCAGCAGCAAAAACGCGCCCTAACAGAAAAGGTGCACTCCCAGTAGAAGTGGGACGCACCAGGAAGAAGAGGGGCACTCTATCAGAAGATGGGCGTCCCAGATAAGTGGGCCGCCTACAGCAAATTGGTCGTTCTTAGAAGAAATGAGGCGACTTAAGCAAAGTGGGCCTCCCCATGACAGATTGGGCGATCCAAGCAGAGGTTGGGCGCCCCCGGGAGAGAAGTGAGGCATACCAGCACAAGTGAGACGCTTCCAGAAAAAAAGAGAGACATCACCCGGGGAAGAAAGACGCGCCAGCAAATGGAGGCCACGTTTTTGCTAATCTCTTTTGCTAACGTAGTGGCGCCCATCTACGACTTTTAACCCACGCCGTGCTGGTGGTGCTTGAGTTTTCCGTGTCGTGCTGGGGGAGGGGGGTTGGGGGGTCACGCCCCCTCGTCCAACTCGGCTCCTGGGCCGCGTAGCGACACGCGGTAAGCGGCATTGGAAAGATCGTCCAAAAACAGGACGAAAAGAAAACGGTCATTTTTTAGGTCAGGTCAAAGGTCAGGTCACCAGAGGTCATCAAAGGTAAAATGTTGCCTGTTTCAACATTTTTCAAAACACCGGCACATAACTCGGAAACCAATACAGCTAAAGCGCCGCGGAAAAGCGCATTCGATAGCCCTTTCAAAGGTGTTTCCGTAAACTGTCCTCAGATTTGACCTCAGGTCAACGGTTTAGCCTTCAGAGGGCAAAAACTCTAAAAAATTGCCGTTTTACAAGCAATGTTTTCCTGCAAAAGCTTTTGACTCAAGAGAGTCTCGACATTACGTTTGCCAGCATCGCGTTTCTGTCGTCGAGACGCGTCGAATGAACAATAGGTTGACCTTGAAAGGTAATTTTGAGAATTTGACCTCAGGTCAAAGTCATAACCTGACCGGGAAAGATCATGTGGCATATCAGTCGATCCGTATCGTCGAGCTGAACACAACTGAGGTGTTTTTATCGCTCTAGCATGTATCTATCAAAAGTTATTTTCAAAAAACTGCTGTGGACCTTTCATGACCTGGGAACATAATGAGTGATCACAGGTGCAATTTTCTTATTCAGTGTGTTAATTCTATATGTATCCTAATGCTTGAGATTGTCTAGAATGGCGCTCGTCCAAAAGAGATGCCTTTCAGTTTTCTCCCATAGGCTTAAGTATGCCTAATGGAGAGGTCGCAAAACTGACCTGACCTTAGCTCACATATCAAAATTCCGAGATATACATTTCATGAAATTGTTGCTTTCATCAAACGCTGAAAGTTTCAAAACGATCGTTCAGGCGGTATAGCAATGGTGAGCATTTGAACTTTTTCTGAGGTTACGTCACTTGGCATGACCTGGTGACCTGACCTTGCATCACCCGGGTCTGACATTTTTACATGTGCAGAAAAAATGCATGATAAGGTATCCTGAAAATGGCGGCGCTGTGCGCAGCCGGTTTTAAGATATTGGCGAAAACCTGAGGGGGGAGCGTGACAACGCCCCCCCCCCCCAGCACGGCGTGGGTTTTAAACTCTCGATTTTGACGACGGTTTGGCGCCCCTCGTATGAAGCGCCCCCGGATTGCCAGGTCGCCCTTATTTCGACTTGCCGCCCCCCCCCCCCTCCCGAAAATTCCTGGATCCGCCCCTGGAAACAAGTGTAGCCATTCTAAAGAAAATATAATCGGGCGTGCACGAGTCGCCGTGCAGACAGGGTGCTTGGGCCAGACGGGCGTCGTCCAGGACGCAGCGCGGGTCGGCGGCCGTGTAACCGGACCGCAGCTCGCAGTGGCAGCTGTAGCTGGGCCGGGCGGCGGCGGCACTGCGCCTGCAGGTGCCCTTCCTGCGGTCCGCAGGGCGCGCCCAGTCGGCACGGGTAGCGCGGCTGCTGACACAGCGGCCCACAGTCAGCGATAACCGTGGCGGTACGGGACCGCAGCGGCCACCATAACAAGACCACCACACTCCACACAGGTTAGCCTGCACGCAGCTCGGGTCGTCCAGAGAACGCGTCTGCCAGTTGCAGCGCGTCTGGCAGCTGCAGCTGTCGGCGACGCTACTGCGCTCGGCCTGGTGGCCAACCCGCCGATATTGGAGCGCCTCACCGCTCGCCCACGGGTTCAGAGGCTCGGCACCCACCAGTTGCGGCCGGAGCGAGAGTGCGTTCGCGTCGAGCACGCTGCAGCGGCCGCGCAGGTAGTCCAACACGTGATGCTGGTTGTCACCAAAGATGGCCGTGTCAAGCCGCTGGCCCAGGCGCTGCCGCGATTACCGGTGCGCCGAGCCGGCCGAACAAGCACCAGCTCAACGCCCACTGCGGCAAGTGGCCTGCGAACTGCGGAATGCACATCCCTCCACTCAACATCTTTTTGAGCATGGAAATCGTCCTTGTCCCAAGTGGTTTCCCCCGCCCCCCTCCCCCTCCCATAATGGACAGCTGGATCCGCCAGTTAGTTTTTGCTAATATCATAAAAAGGTAGGTATTGGCCAGCCTCTGGCATCAAACACCAGCGCCCAGAAAAGAATGTACTTTAGGGGTCTGAAGCAGAATCAGTTGCAACTTGCAATTGTAATAATTTGGTAAAGCAGAGTCCTGATTGGTTCCAGTCCACTGAAGTTCTACACAGTCAGTCTGCAAGATTTATTTCACAATAATTACCTGTGATTTACACACAACACAAATGCTATAGGTACCTGGTGCATAGCAGTTACTGAGAATCTTACCTTCTGAAGATGGAGAAAAAAGATAAGATCTATGTTCTATGCAATTCAGAATCAGTAAAAAAAAATCATTGAAGTTAGGAAGTTAGGAACTGCCCTTGTAAACATGTACCTATACAATGGCACATGGCATTAAATACAACACAGTTTAACTTGGGTGATAAACAAGGTAGGTACTTATAATATTTTATGTTTTGGTAAAAACTGACCTACATTATTCACACAAAAACATAGGTAGGTATTCATTTCACTGAAAATTATCTTCCATGTACAAAGACCCCGTTCAAAGCCAAAAGTTCGGTTTTTGCCCCCCAAACCCTAAATACTTTTTCATTGTGCGTAAAAGCAAATCTTGTCACCAACCCCAAAAGCGACTTCTCGCTAAGGTAAGGTCAAAAGAGAAATTTGTCCCAAGTCCAAAAATTATTTGTCGCTAAGCCCACAAGCTGCTTTAGTCCCTAAAATCCAAAGCTATTTTTCCTCTATGTCCAAAAGCAAATTTTGACCCCAAACTCAAAAGTAACTTGTCGCTATGCCAAAAAGCGGCATTTCCACAGTCAAAATTATTTTTCACTAAGCTGAAAAGCTGCTTCAGCCCCTAAAATCCATCAGTTATTTTTCTGCTATGCCCAAGAGCAAATTTGACTCAAACCCAAAAGCGAGTAGTCGCTAAGCTCAACAGCGAAATTTATCCAAAGTAAAGAAATTATCTGTCGCTAAGTCAAAAATCTGCCTTAGCCCCTAAAATCCAAAAGCGACTTTTGACCCTAAACCCAGATGCGACTTCTCGTGAACTCAAAAAATGACATTTGCTTAAGTCAAAAAAACTATTTGCCGCTAAGCCAAAAAGCTGCTTCAATACCTAAAATCCAAAAGCGACTTTTCCGCTATGCCCAAAAGCAAATTTTGGCACTAACCCCAAAAGTGACTTGTCGCTAAGTTCAAAGGCGACGTTTGCCCCAAGTCCATAAAAGCATGTCACAAAGTTCAAAGGCTGGCTGCTTTTCACCCCAATATCCAAGTGACTTTTTTCTATGCCCAAAAGCAAAGTTCAACTTGTCGCTAAGCCCAAGTGACTTACCTACTGATGGGTCAAGAACTGACTTTTGGCCCAAGACCAAAAAGCAAGTTTGTGCGGAAGTAGTGTAGCAGGTGTCACACTTTTTTGCAACCAAGGGGAGGTGCTGTAGGTTAGGTTGTAGGTTGTGGGTTTCAGGTTGTAGGTGGTAGGTTTTAGGTTGTAGGTTGTAGGTAAGGTTAGGTTAGGTTTGGTTATGTTTGGTTTGGTTAGGCTTGATAAGAAAGCTCTCTGGATATAGCGCCTCTCCTTGGTTGCAAAAAGGAGTGTGACGCCTGCTTTACGACTACTGTTTGTGCAATATCAAACACCAAGCATTTTACCTAGGTATTTATTTACAAATATAATCCCGAGGCTGGATTCAAAAGTTAACGGTCACTAAATCTGGATGCGATACCTACTACAAAAGAAAATACATAAAATTGCGCCAGGATGACAAATTACAAAAAAAAAAATGGAACAGCCATTTGGCTCATTTTTGAAGAACAGTCATTCTTACGAGTTACAAGTCAATCTCATTTATACCTATAGTTTTTGTTTTATTATTTTGTTGTAATATTCATAAATCATCCAGACAAATCCTCAAATAAATAATTTCAATGTTACCTCTCTATGATCATAAGTACTATATCATTCAAGCCGATAGGTAGGCATTTTCAGGCATTTTATATTTAGCAACTGCCGAGACCAAAACGACGCGGGCAACAAAAGAAACCGTGGGGATAACGTAATTTTGGGTCATTAGATAGTCATAAATGGTTTTAAGTACAAGGCATCAGAATATTTAACACTCAAAACAATTCAAATTAGCACTTTGATAGATAGACAATTGCCTAGTTCTTACCGTCGAAATCGAATTCGGCCCGCGCGAGAATGGCGGACTGGTAGTTGATAGAGCTGGACACCAGTACTTCTGGATGGGCGTGTTGTCATTTCAAGGTGCCTATTTACTACCTATTTAAAAACGCTAGGTATAAATTTGTTATTATTTAATCTATCTGCCACCCAAAACCGAAAACATCAAAATATTTTCATTTGTACATGCAAAATACCTACCCACTCCATCATCACAAAGTACCATCTCTTTCATACGTCATCAATATGGCACAGCAGAAAGCTGAAACGCCCGGCGGATTTGTGTGAACGCGAGGGAAGTCACGTGACCTTGATTCACACTCTTTATGGCAAAATCCAGTAAAAAGGGGCCCATCTGATATTTATACAGACGATATATCACGACATAAGGAAGGCGTTGTGATGCTCAGCATAGTGGTGCCCGATTTTCGGGCACCACTATGCAAACGGGCACCACTTCGCGTAGGTGTATCGGACAAAGGGCACCACTACGCTGGTCTTACAAACGCACACACACACACACACACACACACACACACACACACACACACAAAACGTTTATTAAGGAACAAAAGATACACGAGAAATAAAGCATGATCAATGAAACATATGGCACAATGTAGCAACATAAAAGTGATAGCAGAGTGGTGCAAAAGCGCAATCGCTTAACTCGAGGCACCACTCTGGAACAAAAATAAAACATGTGAACCAACCGCCGCCGCCGCTGACCAGTCGCTCATGAGCGGTAAATTTTGGTGTTGACTGTTATCTGATTCCCAACTGAGTGCTAGCCTCGAGAGAGCTGCACTGACATGGGCAAAGCGTGAAACGGGAGAGTAAGCACGAATTAAAATGTGCGTTGACTGATGTTGAAATGAGCTATTCAGTGTTCTGTCAGTTGGGACTTAACCTAATCTGGGTCAAGCCCACTTAAGCTACAGACGCTTTCATTTACCGCTCTTCATATGTGCCGAAATGACCCTGTCCTCCGACTAACTACCGCTCAAATAAGCTCGCATAGTGGCTATATATAACTTTCAGGAGTTGTTAAATAGCTGGGCACTTCAGCCCTTTACACAGCAGTCGAGCATGTGCCTGATTAAAAGCCATAAAAGGCTGACCAACTATTAAAGTTGGCCAGTGCCCTACATTTACCATCCACGTTGTAACAGTCAGTGAAGTCTGTTTTACGCTCTGTAAATACCTTCTAAATGAATTCCCGTGACCTTTTCCTCATATTTTCCTAGGCTAGATGTTCGCCACGATAGAATGTGTTCATATTTTCGTAAGCCCCTTCATTGAGCGGCACGAGACGCTGCATATCATGTAATTAGTCGCTTCTCCTTATGGGCCTGACCCGTTTGTCCTCACAGGTCAAGTCACCGCGGTCTGTCCTCTCTCCCCCACCCCTCCCCTCTGCCGTAACCCGCTGTATGTACCGCTCAAGGTCGCTGTGCGGCACCGAGCGCTTCCTCTGACGTCATCGGTGGCGACAGCCACTTCCCGCTTCACACGACTGAGCGCGGCCGCGACAGGCGCGTCCCTGCCATCACCGCGGCCGGCGGCGCCGCGCGGTTGACCCCTGACCCCGCCGGTAGCTGCGCGCGCGGCGCCGTCTCAGCCGACCGGCCGCGGCGGCTCCGCGGCTGGCTCAGGTCGCTCGGTGACGAATGGTGACCTGCGTGACCTCCCCGCGGCGCCCGACGCTCGGCCGGCGGCGCACCACCTGTTTGTGCGTCGTTTTGGTCGCGGTAAATCGCGCCGGTGGCCTCTTTCTAGGCTGTTTGTTCGTGTTGCCTTGCTACGGGAGATGGCTGAGGTGCTGTGATGCTGCTCAGCTCTGGTCTGGCCCAGCTGGAGGTGATGTGTGTTACAATCAATCACAGAGCATGACTATTTTAGCAGCACGAGGGTTTGAGATTGAATCAGTGTCTTAGGGCGTCCTCTGTAGACCTATGCATTTTCTATAAGTCATTGTTTTCAAAAGTATTCAGCGATTTTCGGTAGTTGGGCTATACGAACATTTGCATCTTCGTTCGCATTTTGGTCGGTTTGTGGCTTGTATTCTGATGTAAATTTACCTGTCGATCATGCTGCAATCTGCGCGACATTCTGACCTCATTTCAGCGTCGCCTAGTTTAACCCTTAGGCCATGGCATTGATCAGCACTGATTCATCGCCGCATAAACCTCGTGATAGTATTTGGAGATGTTATCCAGTGGAACGTTGTCGACGATTTTAGACGGCGGGGACATTGCGGACAAGCGCGTCTGCAAGGGCGGTGACGCTTTACAAAAGTTTTCCATGTTCGCCGCTTTGTTTCCTTCTTCTTATGTGATCATTGATCAATTAAATAATCTACTGTCCCGCGTAATTGAACCCATTCGTGGCACCGCTTCTGTCCGATCTCCCCACTGACCACCCGGCCCTCCGCGGCCACCGGTGCCCCCGGGCCCGGTGCCTGAGCGCGCCCCTGCCTCGGACGGTGCAGCGCGGCCGCTTCGCTGGCTGCAGACCCGCGCGGCGTCGCGCCGCGGAAGGCAGCCCCAGTCGACGGTCGCTCGTAATCGCGGTAGGTTCGCACTGTGAGTCCTCAGCCGTTCCGGCGCAGCGCAGCGGTGGATTAACCTTGGACAGTGATTTGCGACGTGCTAGTGAGGTTAACGGAGAAAGACGGCATCCCCAGAGAGTGGTATTTCGGTAACTGTTGTGTGTTGGAAGTTGGAACCAGTGTTTGGTGAGCACAGTGTGGTCGAACGGTTGATCTAGGAGTTTGTTTAGGTTGTGAAGTGCCTGCGCGGGCAGATCATAACTGGGTGACCGTAGTGGTGTTGCGTGCAATACTCTGAGAGAATCGCGAGCATCCAGTGTGAGCGCGGTAGAGCGCACGGCTCGAGTCGGTGGTGAAACGCGGGTATCTGCAAACGCTCAAAACGTCGCGCCGCTGCAAAAATGGTAAGACGGCGTGCATCGCTCTCTCCTTTTTTACTTAGCATTGCATACAGACACCGGCACGGCTCGAGAATCTGTCGGCACCAAAACACGGGCTCGGCTTGCAAGGTGGATTCCTTTATCAGACGCTGCATACGAGCGGCGAGTGGCTTCACGGCCGAGTGCCGATTGCATGCTGGCCCGGGCTGCAGCTCGCCATCAGCCGCCCTGAAGCACCATCTTCAGTGTGTAATTGCACGGCTCTTTCCGCTAACGAGCGCCCTGTATAGTTCGCGGCTCGCCGCTCAGTGTTACTGCCCATCATGTGGTCAGTCGGGCGCCCGCCGGACGCGCGGTGCGTGGCGCCGTTTCGCAGTTCTCAGCGTGTTGTCTGTGTTTCCTCCAGTGCTGGAGACTGGCTACGGTCAGTGTCCGCCAGTGCGCGGGTGACTCAGCGGCTCGTTTCGGAGGAGCGCGGTGGCACGGCGTTGGACGGCAGAGCGACAGATGTAAACATTGGGCACTGCGGCCCGGCGGCCAGCCTGCCCGGCCTGCCTGTCCGTCCGTCAGCTGGCTAATGCTTGCAGACCACATCAACTGCTAAACGCCCACAGACCGTCGTACTTAGGTCGACGCTACGTGGCTGCGGGCCTTGTCACTCCCTGGACGTTTGAACAGTGAAGGGTTCCGGCTAGCACTTGGTCCGCTGGATATGCTGCTTAATCCCAATTAATTGATATGCCGCTTGCCATCATTTCACGGCATGGCGTCCATCCTAACCCGTCCTGTCTCCTCCCCACCTCTCTCTCCCCGCGGCACAAAACACCCACCTGTGGTCCCTCTCTCCCACTATGGATCGGCCCCGGCAGTTGGCCTTAAGAAGGCAGCGCGCCGCCGGCAGCTACCGGCCCGCTGCTGCACGCTCAGCGCGGACCGTCCGGCTGCAGACTGGATGATGTAGCAGCCGGCGCTGAGACGGCCACCCACCGAGTGGTTCGGACCGGGCCGGGTCCGGGCTGCTTCCCGTGTCCTCTGCTAGTGCTGGACCTGTGTCCGTGTTCCGGTCGGTATCCAGTATCCCTAACGGTGTCCCTGTTCGCGTCCCTGTGGGCATCCAGTATCCATACCCGTGTCCCGTGTCTGTGTCCCGTATCCGCATCCGTGTCCGTGCTCGCATCCTTGTCCCATGTTTGCATCCCTGTCTGTATTCAATGTCCATACCTGTGTCCTGTGTCCCTGTCGATATCCAGTATCCGTGTCTCTGCCTGTATCCGTGTCCGTATCCATACCCGTGTCGATATCGGGGCTTCTGTCCCAGAGGGACCGGACCCTGCTACATGGCGTACCCACGTGTCTAAGTTTTACCGCAATGGAAGGCGGAACTAGGCAGTCGAACTCTGGGGATTCGTACATCGGCATTCCAAGCAGGCCGGGCAGTGCGCGGCACTGGCACGTGCTTCTCTGCAATTGCATGCATCATTGTGGTGGGAGAGACGCAGTACGCTGCACCAACTCGGGACGCTCAAGATGTGGCCTCCGCAGTCAGTGCCGACTTGGCTATCCCGGTGGAGCGGCTAGATCGGCGATGTTGTGACTCGCAGTTGCCTGGATCAGCGACGTTGGCCTTGGACATGTTTTGGAGTCCGCCGAGGGCTTAGCGATGTGATTTATGTTTGCCCGCTGTGTAACATAATCAATGTTTATGGCTCACTTGCATAATGCCACTTTTGGGAACCAAAATACCGTAATCCGGCCATTTGGAAATGCCATCTAACCTAGAAAGGCACTTGCGATTCATTATATGCGGATCAGCATCATGTATGACTAAAGCTGGGGTTGCGGGCCATTACCATTCCATTAGCATAAGGACTCACTGTTATGTCCATATAGGCCTCCATATCGACGTGTGGGGACGTACAGTCGTATTCTCAGACCCGTTGTCTTCCTGCTAAGGAGTCGCCGATTTAAATCATTCAGGTGTTTTCTGTTAAAAAATGCAGTCGCAGTTTTACGAATCGCTGATTCGCTTTTCTGCTGAATGCAAATATAATATCAGGTTTTGAAAGGTTCGTCACAATGGATTCTCGGCATTACCTCTAACGTCGCTGTATGATACTGTATGAGCCGCATGTCAATGGCTTTCCCAGATGAGGCTGCCTGGGCGATATTTCCGGTCTACCCGGTAACCCGCAGACGATGCCAACGTGAAGCCAGGTCCTATTTCTGAGTGTCGCCACCACGAAATGTCGCCGAGTCTGAGCCTCTACCCTGAACTGATGTCGTCCCCCCCCCCCCCCCGGGCGGGCTGCCAGCACTACCAGCAGGATCGAGAGCCCCCCCCCCCCCCACTGCCAACAAAGTGAATGTCACCTGAGGTCTGAGTTGTCCTTTCAGAATGGTTTGAGACTTATCGTTTCTAAGGCCGCCGATGTTATTTCCCCAAAAAGTTACGTCTAGGAATATAAACCTTATTCAGATAAAGTTGAATACTACAAATGATATTTGTGAACCTTTTTTTGCGTATTTTGGAGGAGGAACCTTGTGTCAAGGACGTGGTCGTGCTCAGGTCAGCGAACGCTTTCAGTCCGTGTCCGTGATATTTATCTGAGTCGGCTGCTTTTGTCATTTGTTAGTCCCAAAAATGCCACTGCCGTGTCCCTTGGCGACTGTAGGCCTGCATCCTGACACGGGAGGGCATCGAAACAGGCGGCTGTCGGTCCCAGGTGTGTCCCACGGCCTGGCAGCGGCGCCCCGCCGGTGTCCGATGGCACGGGGAGGGCGTCACGTGACCGACAGAGCCGGCTGAGACGGCATCATCGTCATCATCAGCCCGCCGTCGGACTATAGGTACCGACAGAGCACGGACATCTCTCAGACACCTCTGCGGCTCCCCGTGGATACAGCATCGGTAGCCCCGTGAAATGGCAGTGATTGTTTGCTGTCACCATCTGAACACGAGACTTCGTGCGTAAATGCCCGCGGCTTTAGGAAAATGTCTTGTTTCTGGGCTGGCTCAAAGTCCCGGCTATCGTCTGATGTCATATAGCGTTCTGTCTTCATCAATGCCGCGGCTATTTATATGTTTCTGTGAGTGAACTTTTTCCCGAACCAAGTTTGTTTTTGTCCTAGTTCAAGACGTCTTTCAAGAGACCTTCCGCCGACTATTTTGGTCTGTATGAAATGAGTCGATTTCCAGGGCTTTCAGCTGGACTATTTGATGTCGCTGGGCGCTCGTTTTGACCCGAATGGGTCACCGTCTGTCACCAAAGAGATCACAGTTCGCCTTACGACCGACTGCTCCCGGGAACTCCCAGCACTGTCAGGGCATCTGCAGCCGTCAACCGTAACGGTTACTGCGGCCGAACCCCGCTGACCAGTGGAATGGGTAGCGCGAACTTCCTCAAATAGCCGGTGACGCGTGTCCGTCTCACTTTCGCCGCAACTCTCGGCTGCTAACCGCTCCCAAATTAGTGACACCTGTCGAAAGCGCCGCGTCACTTCTGAGCTTGTCTGAGTCTAATGACCGTACAAAAATAGAAGCGATTTTTCGTCATTCTGGCACCTTCGTGATGTTTTTTTTTTCAGAAGGGAGGTATTTTGAGTGAGTTTTGGAAACAGGCCACCGCCCGATTGCCTGAAGTCCAAGGTTCAAGAAACGGCACTTCATCTGACTCGGCATTTCTGCCGCTAAAATGCACAGCCTGAATGGCGTCAAAGGGTTGGAGTGAATGGACCTCTGTTGGCCATAATAAAGCCCGTTGAAAGCGTGAATGAGGGCTCGTGATGGATGTTGAATGACTGAATTAATATGAAAAGAAATCTCCGGATAGGTATATTTTCGCTGTTCTCCACTACAGCTCAGCTTCGTTCGAGGCGCCACGATGGTGAGAAGTAGACGTGTGCCTCTTCTGTGATGGTGAGGACGTAAGCATAATTAGCTGTTCAGTGGTTACTTCAGCGACACGGATCTGTGAACTCTAATTAACAGTTGGTTCGGCCAAGCCAACCCACAATTTTTGGCTCCTCTGGTGCTGTGGTAAAAATATCTCAAATCTCTCGCAACTAGATTCGGCCGGATTACAGAGCAACTCGCTCCCCAAGGACATTGCAAAGAATGCAGCACGCAATCGCAATTCCTACCAACATACCTCAGCGACTGCCGACAATGCTCGTCATTTTAAATTAAAAAGGAAACATGCGGGAAAAAAACGAAAAAACTAAATGTTGAAATTGTTTCCTTCTTTTCAGTTTCAAATGAGACACGTCTACGTTTTGTCATCGCTTCATAACCGTATTCCGCATGGTTACATCTTGTTGAGGTCCCTTCTCAGACCCCATATCCATCTTCTACCGTCCCATCCCGCTATCGTCCACTCCCCCGTTCCATCTTCCCATTCCTTTTCCGTCTGTGCCAGCGCGGCCTAATTTAGATGGAAATCGTATCGGAGCTGATGACCTGTGAAGCTCGCTGACTCTATTTTCCGTCACGATCCTCAAATGGAACTACTGCGGGCGCAGGCACGCGTGTGCTTGTGTGGCAGGGATGGAGAGGCTAGGGAGGGGTAGTGGTAATTGTAATGGGACAGGTGGCAGGCACCCCTTCCGGCGGATCGTTACATGAGAAGAGTGGTCCGAATCACCACCTGTCTGAGGCAACAGGTGAATCGGGGGCACCTCGCTTCGGCTGCCGGCGCGGCGGGGCGGGGCGATGCTTTGGGTCGTTTCTGAAGATAATTACTGCGCGGCGTAGCTCTGGATTGATCGATGCAGCAGATCTGACTGCTTTGGAGTGGGTGGATGGATCTGAGTGACTGTGCTCGATGGGAGATTGACGTTGAGGGGAGACTTTCACCATATGCCAGATGCAGGGGCGAGTAACAAATGATGAATAGCAATTTTCAATTTCGCTCAAATGCCAGCATAATGCGCATCAAGCAGTGCTGCCTCTCGCTGATACTGACGGCGTCTGTAGCTGACAGAAGACAGAGCGGGAGGCGGAGACGCGGACAGGGGAGAGCGGCGGG